GAGAGACGGAGAGAGGGTAAGAAGGGGAAGAGGTAGAGAGAAGTAGGGAAGAGGTAAGGTAAGAAAGAAGGGAAAGGAGAGGAGGAAAGAAGAAAGTGGAGAAGGGAGAGAAAGAAAGAGAGGAGAGGAGATGAGAGGAAGAGGAGGGAAGAGAGTGAGGAGGAGAGGAAGATGGAAGGGGAAAGGAGAGAGGGTAGGAAGGGGAAGAGGAAGAGAGGAGGGGGGGAGAGGTAAAGGAAGAAGGAAGAGAAAAGAGGAAGGAAGGAAGTAGAGAAGGGAGGGAGGCAGAAAAGGAAAGGAGAAGAAGGTGGTGTCAAAATTGGCGAAGGATGGTAAACAAAACAACCTGAATGAAATATTACAATTCTATAAATGGAATTGCAAATGTATTAGAATTATGAATGTAAAAAAAGAATAATAATTATGTGAATTAGAGGACAAAAAATAAAATAAAAACTTTATTTAAAAAAAGATATATGCAATCCTTTTCTCTTACAACCTGAAACATCTGGTGTGAAAAATATAATGACACATTAAGCAATGGGAAAGGTAAACTTCCAGAACGTAGTATAGATAATGCTTCTGTACTGTACAGTTCTTTTTACTAAATCACAATTTAGAGATGAGATGCACTGGTTAAACAGAATGGTGTGATTCTTCAGTCTGATTCTTTTATCTTTGTCTGTTTTTCCCCATAGATACTCCTGGCAGCCTTAGCTGCCTTAGTCTGACTCAGCAGCATGGCACAAAATAGTTTCTTGGCTTGCCTCAGCTCTGCGCTGCGATGCAACAAGAAGCTCCTTTGTACTGTGCTGCTGAGCTTTGTTGGGGTTTCCTGGAAAGCTGTTTGCTCAGCCCCACCCTGACCCAGCAGCACAATGCAAAGAGGCCCTTTTGTGGCGCAAAAGGCTTCCTAAGGTATCCCAACAGCACAATGAAAAGGGCCTTCACAACATGAAGTTCAGCCGCGTCCAGCATTCAGTGAAAAGCTGCAATCACCCAAGCCCCAAGTCCCATTCACAGTTGCCCTTGCCACCCTACACTGTGAAGCCCTGTGCTGCCCCAATGCTGCGTGATCTGACCGTCACTATCTTTTTTCTTCCTCTGCTAATGTAACATTCTTGCCCTGGCCCTTATTGAGTAAATCATGTGGGACCATCTTCTCTAAATATTGAGGAGACAGTCTCCCATGGCCAACTGCTGCCTCATAAAGCATCATGCCAGACATGTTTGATCAGCAGCAGGAGGAAAAAGACAGTGCAGGGTATCAGGAACTGTGAAGTGCAGGGAGTTCTAAGGATATACTGTACTGTATGTAGGGGAGACAGATGGGGGAGGAAGCTGCAACACCTCTGCAGTCATAAGTGCAAATGTCTATGGAGATTCTCAGTCATCCAGGTCATGGTTGTACCAAAGGAGCTTTTTTTCAAAAGGCAACTGGACTTTCTGGTTTTTCTTTAGACGTTTTACTTCTCATCCAAGAAGCTTCTTCAGCTCTCTCACAGCTCTCTGAGCTGAAGAAGCTTCTTGGATGAGAAGCGAAATGTCTTCAAAAAAAAAGCAGAAAGTCCAGTTGCCGTTTGAAAAAAAAACAAAACACTTTTGGAATTATGTGCAAATTGCCTACATTTTGAACATGGGGTGGTGCGCAGTGGCCCTAACTTCAGACACTAATTGCTTGTTCAAAATTGACGTAACTTAGGTCACTGAACTAATGGTGGTAAGTCAAGGCTGAACTTTCTCTGGATGTTATTACAGTGCATTCAATTAAATGAGGATGATGGACAGGAGAAATCCAGGCTAACATTTTTACTGTGCTTTGTGTTTGCTTGGTTTAGAAGGAGCAAATTCCACATGCAAGGAAGAAAGATTTCTGGTGAGTGTCATGGCAATGTCCCTGATGAAAGGGATGGTGTTTAAAGTGGAGATCAGTGGCTGGATCTTGGATCCTGGCTGGATAAATCTCTCCAGAAACTCCACGTGCTCTCTGGACAGCTGCTCCTTATGAGGAGACTAAAAGAATTGAGACTTTGCATGTGGCTTATGAGTGTACAGCCTTTTATGGAGCAAAAGCTCGACCAAGCCTCATTCCGTAATCACCTTTGTGGTTATTTTTACTGCTTTGTAAATATCAAGAGCCTCTGGAGCTGCCAGTTTTTATTACAACCATTAAGTGGCTCTACTTTTTAAAGAAAGAGGGTTTTTTTAAAAAAAAACTTGAAAGAATATTTCTGAAATAAACAGCAAAAGGGTGCCTAGAGTGCTTATTCCGGAACGTTAAAAATTGACCAAGGATCCAGATAGAGTTGGAATAAAAAAATGAAATTAATTATAAAAAATCCTTCCCATGGGAAACTGGGGTTGTGTAAGTTCTTTGAAAAAAACATATAATTCAAAGAAAAGTTTTCCCCCCCTATGATTTAGAATAAACTATAAAGTAAGTAGCATGTGAAATGCAAGTTAATCGCTACCTTTTGCACAGTCTGCTCCATGGTAGCCAGGAAAACAATGACAGATTCCGGATACGCATTCGCCATTCCCATGACAATTGCGTGGACAGTCCTGTACAGAATCTGAAAGACAGACATCACTGATTTGTCAGTTATTTCTCCAGGTAACATTGCTTTCGATCTTCATGCCTTCAACATCTGAAATTCACTTCACAATAATTAGAAATGGCCCAAACAAAGAAGAAAAACTTAACACTTCTTAACAGTTCATTTTCTAAATATTACTAAAGACTTTCTCTGTTTTTCTTTTTCTTTTTTGGTCAAGTAGCTATTTCCTCTCGGTGGGGAAAAAAAAATTACTGCACTTGAAGGCATTTAGCAGCCCTATTTTCCATTTGAGGAAATGCAGAGGCAGAGAGGTCCCCTCTGTTATATAATGAGTCCAAATCGCACATACACAGCTAGGGGTCTCTTGTACTAATGATTAGAATGAGCCATTGTATTTTGGTAAGCGGCTGCAATTGTGTATTATGACTCAGAAGGGAGTCTCCTATATATGGTGTGATTTCTTTTTATACTGAATGTAGCTTTTCCATGTAGTAATTATTGTAGCCGGACAATAATTCTATGAACAAAACATGCTAAAGTGGCAGCTTTGAACCATGTTTTCCATAATCTCTGGACTGGAAACAACCACAATACTGCAGCATTGGTCTGTGTTATTAATACTTTTGCTTTTATTTTGTCTGTGCATCTTCACCGATATATGTGTGGCAAAGAGAATCAGTATGCTGAGACAAGCTAGAGAGCTACAGTGAATGTCTCTGTATAAGCCTTGACATCCTTTAACACCTGAAAAGGAACAGAAATTTGTTGGAGTGCTAATGTTTCCTGTTATGCATAGCTGGTGCATCAAACTGTATATCGCAGACATAATGGAAAGGTCCAATGATTTCTTTCCAAGGAGACCAAGCTCTGATGAAATACTGGCAACTTTGAAATCTTTCACTATTGAAAAATAACTTTTGTGGTTTAATTTCTCAGACAGTTTACTTTCTTTTTCATCTCTCTCTCTCTGTCATCTATCTATCTATCTATCTATCTATCTATCTATCTATCTATCTATCTATCTATCTA